CTGGGCTTATACATGGCAAAGAGTGTCACGTCCAACTTGATAAAAGGTCTAAACTTAAATTACAAATTTTAAGCTATTAGACAAAAGTATGTAAAGATGTATTTATATCTTAGAGTGGGACTTTCTTAAGCAAAGCCTGAAATTAAGAAGTTGAACTACATAAAAAGCGAAAACAATGTAAACAAAGAGAAAAAGGCAACAATACACAGGTGAAAGAATTTGCCATCAGTAAAGCAGGAAAAGTATTTCAATTTTCATCAAAAGGTGAATAAATGAATATAAAAACTTCAAATAAGTTGAAAAATAATTTAAAGTTGAAAACCTAATCTAAAAAAGATGAAATAAAAATAAGTAATACAAATATAAAACAAAGAATTCAAAGGCATAAAAAGAAAATGTTTGTACATTGGAAAGTATGGGAATGCAAAATAATACAATTGATACTATTTTGTTCATTAGTTCAGAAAAAAATTTAAAAAAAACTTTAAATATGCTAAATTGAGATAAGGTAGGAAAACAGATTACTCTCATATGCTATTGGTGGGAATGTAGGTCGATATAAATTTTTTGGAGTGAGTTTGGAAGTCTTTGTCAAAATTTAATTGATAATTTACATTTTAGAATTTAGTCCAGCACACATCATTGCTTCTGTGTAAAATGAAGCACACACAGAAATAATTGTTGCAATATTATTTATAATAATAAAAAAACAACTAGAAGCAAGTTTAATACCAATCTATGGCTGCACAGTTAAATTCACTGTGATGTTGGAATATTATGCAACTTTAAAGAAAAATGGTATAAATTACATTGGAAACATGAAATGACCAAGCAAGTGTTAAGTATGAAAAAGTGAGTTATAGTATAACTTATTGATCAAATTTGATTTAAAAAGAGGAGATGTAACTAACTGCTATAATCTGATTTGTGTCCACCTAAAATTTAGATGCTGAAACCTAATTCCTAATGCCACAATATTGAGAGGTGGGGCCTTTGGGGGATGAGTAAGTCATAAGGACATGTCCTCAAGAATAGGATTAGTGACCTTATAAATGAGGCCCAAGGGCTCCTTCCACCACATAAAGACACAGCTATCAGGAACTATACCTGAAGCGGAGAGCTCTCGTCTGACACAGATCTGCTGGGCCATGATCTTGGACTTTGCAACCTCCAGAATCATGGACAATAAATTCCATTGTTTATAAGTTACTCAATCTAAAGAACTTTGTTATAACAGTCTGAATGGGACTATGACACTAGCCCACTAATGATATATAAAAGAAGAATGTCTGTAAATCTACATGAAAAATGTAACCTGTAGTGACCTCTGAGGAGAGAAGAAACAATGGATCATCATGTCATTTTACTCATAAGTTCCTTGAATAACTTGATTTTTTTCAATAAGTAATGCTGTATTTTAAACGTTTAAAGGAAGAGTTATTTTAAATTTTTTTTAAAAATGAAAGAATAATTATATTCTTTACATTACAGAATGTAACAAAACCAGTTCTACATGGCCACAAGAGAAAGGCAGATTTAGTAGTGAAAACTAAAAGATCTAAAGCGTTTCTCACAATTAAAGAGATCACTATACAGACAAAGCACCTGAAAAATCACTGACTACAGCACTTGCCTTTTCATTCAATGTGTATGTTTGCATAAACTCTGCATGCATATTTTAATATTTGCATATATAATTAGACACACATGGGAAATATGTTAACAGGGCCTATTTTCTGAATGACAACATTTTTTACTTTATATGTATTTCTGCAAAGTTTCTTTTTTTCTCAAAGAACAGTAATCATGTTTAACAATAATGTAAAACATTGAATTAATTTTCTATGATCGCTACATAAGGTCTAACAATCTGGTGCTGGACCACAGCCTGCACATAAGGAAGTGTGTCTTGTTCAGCTTGCCCAAGGGCAGGAGAAACGATGCAGCAGCACAGAAAGAATAGATTTTCCTTTTACCCATGTTTGCTTTGGCATTATTAGATCCAATAATGAGAACCTGGACTAGGAGATTGGATATTGATTATTTACATTCCTTGTATTTAGCGGCTGGAGAAGGTGAATTGGGGAGGGAACTGTGTTTGGTCATCAACTTCACATAGCCCAGTAAGTAGATTTTTTAAATTCTGAACACTTTCCCTTGAATTGCTTGACTTTTCTGCCTTGGAATTGCATCTGTCCCATGAAGGAGTAGGGTATTGCCCTTTGCATCTGACTAACCACCTGGGGAGAGGTGAAGGTACTGCTAAGCCATGTGGATCACAAGCATTTTCTTTGGTGAATCTGTTTTGGGAAACTCCGGCAAGTGGAGGAAAAACTGGCTCCAAGTTCATTGTATCCCAGGCTTTTTCTGACCGTGATTCTTTTGTTCAATAGGAAACAAGTGAATCTTGACCCTTCCATGGAGCAGACACGTGGCAGATGCTTCAGACTCGGTGTTGAGCACCCCAGCAGGGAGTGCAGGGAAGTCAGTAATGACTTAATTATAATTCTATCTGATAACAGCTGCAATGCAGAAGTGTGTCATGGACTGTATTCTGTTCCCCCAAAATTCATGTGTTGAAGCCTTAACCTCTAACGCCTCAGCACGTGACTGTATTTGGAGACTGGGTCTTTAAAGAGGTGAAGTCGAAGTGGTGTTATTAGGAGGGGCCTGAATCCAATCTGATTGACATCCTCATAAAAAGAGTTGATATGGACATGCAGAGAGACACCAGGGATGCTCTCACACAGAGAAAAGGCCATCAGGAAGCTAAGGAAAGAAGCCTTGGGAGAAATGCAACCTGCTGATATCTTTGATCTTGGTGGACTTCCAGCCTCTAGAGCTGGGGTCCTTTCTATATGTGAGTTGCCTCGTCTGTAGCACTTTCGTATGGCAGCTATAGCAAGTCAGTACAAAGTTCAAGGAGATCTTAGACGGAGCAAGGGCTGCTTTCCACAGGGAGAGTGATCTGAAGAATGATTGGTGGTTAGCTGGAGGGGTCCTGTGAATGCAGTCCAGTGACAGACCCCTAAGACAAGGGAGATGCTATTTAAAGATTTAAACAGGGTGTTCCTATGATCTCTGAAATTTTTGTAAGTAAATCTAGCTACAACGTGGTGACCAATGAGGATCTTGGGTCAGTAAAGGAGACTGCAAAGGCATTGCCCTTGGCATCAGGAAACACAAGAAGAAGGGTGTGCCTTACAGAGAGCCAGAAAGTCGAGTGGGCAGCAAGGCACGTTGCGATCGAGAGGTTAACTAGATGTCGGAGAGCTTGGTAACTCAGACTAGATCTTCTAATGCAAGTCCAGAGTTTAAACCAAATTCAAATGGTCCAAGGGGGGAATGGGAGTAAGGAACCAGATGTTCTGTTATTCGTCCGCCCTTTTGAGAAGCTTCGGTGTGAAAGCCAGATGGAGTTTGAACAGTCACTGGTTGTTTGGAGGGAGACATGTGTAGCTTTGAAGTCCTTGAATACTGTGCAATGGTTTTCAGGGTGCAGAAGCAGCAGCAGCAGCAGCATGACCTGAAAATTTGTTGAAATGAAAATTCTTAGGCCCCGCCCCAGACCTACTGATCAGAACCTCTGGGTACGGGGCCTAAAGAACCCCTGCTCTATTTCAGGTTTACAGAGATAGGCTGACTATAGTCAGAAAAGCCTTCATCCCTGAGGGAGTTTCCTTCCCAATATTTAATGCCTTTAGTTCATTTATGGCTGTTTAATAAAGGGAAATATGCAAAGTGCACTCATACAGCCATCCATACAACAAACTTTCTTGGTAAGTCCAAGAAAGGTGAGGCTTCTTGCCATACTCATTTTGGGAAGTCCCTGTCTTCAGTTATACATTCAAAGAAGTTTGATTTTTTTTTTTTTTTTTTTTTTTTTGGTGTGTTTCTTCTTCGTTATCCACTTTCGAATCCCACTTGCATTGACTTAATATAACATTTGTTATGTGCACTCACTTTATTTGAGGAATTTTATTTTTTTGCTTTTAGAACGTCTCTCTCCCTCTTATGTACAGTACTTTCCCCCTTAAATAATTACGTAAAACTTCTTTCAATTTTAAGCTCTGAAATAGTCACCTCCTTGATGTTCACATCCGTATGCTCTTCATCTTTTTATACCCTTTATTAATTCATAGTTTTGGAAATGCTGTCATTTAACCATTTATGCCTTACATGGCTTTATTTTTTATTTACTTGTGTTTGTCCTATCTCTGAATTCGGCAACGTCTTCTTTACCCACATTGTACTTCATCGCCATCAGTACACGTGACGGAGGGTGAAGGATAGATACAGAGAGGCCTCGTGCCTGTGTGTCAGTGTGGAGCTTAGCATGTAATCAGAGACAATGCCTTTTAGCCCTTCTTATCATGAGGGGACTACAACCCATGCTACCAATGGCACCTCACCAGACTGTGCTCTGCATGGGGGCTTCACTGTTAATTGACTCACTCACTCTTTCAAATCCTACTTAGCTTTTTGATTGCGTGAACTTGATTTTGTTTAGCTTTATAGGCTTCACGTGCAAAAAGCAAACACCACTCTTTTGTTCTTTCCTTTTTCAGCAAGAACGATAAAATAACCATAATCTTTTTCTTGTGTATTCAAAATACTCTGCCTGAAAACACACTTAAATTCTAGAAAGCTTTATAATAATTTAAATTACAATGGCACCATTTTTTTTTTTCCTGCTTGTCATTATCTTCCTAGGCTTTGTCACTTCCATGGCAACACATACTGTATTTTACTTTGTGTTTAAAAATTATTTATGCTGAGCCATAAACTAGTTTTTTTAATGAATATTCAACAATGCCTTCCAAGTGGCGAAGTGTTCTGAGCCTTGTCTTAAATCCTTCCCACGCACAACTTTTAAAATAATGCTTTAAAGTGCAGTGCAGATCATGTCACTCCTCTGCTCAAACCCCATCAGTGGCTCCCCACTGTTGATCAAGGAATGCCTAAACCCCTTTGTCTGACTTCTGCCTCCTTTTTTTTCACATCAGATGGATAATGCGTCAACATCATAACGAGGTTTGAGGAAGGCGCTTCTCACACATGAGCGTGAAAACCCAATCATCGCGCTTATAAACTACAAAAGGATCAGACTTCTTCTTCCTTGATAATCTTGTCTCAACCTGCCTTTACCGTCTTTCCTTCTTGCATCTGACCTCCTAATATACATCTGAGAATGCCTAGTCTATAAACTGCAGATGGCTTATTACAACTGGCATCAACAATGAAGACTTTATTACATCACAACACGGAAGGATGAAAATAAGAGGGCAATGTCTTTACTTTCTCTGCAATTCTTTTGGTGTTCCCCAGTGGTCCAGGGACAGCTGTTTCCCTTCCAATAGTCACCTACAGAAGGGGTAGAATAGAGAAAATCCCCACCTTATGTCTATTACCACGAATGAGACAAACCTTCTCTGAGCCTTCCAGCAAACTTTCCTTAGTATCTATTAGGCAGAGTGTGTTTCACACAGACCACACACCTAGGCTGGGGAAGGAGACATTCAGAATCAGCTGAGGCTGATGAGTAAGCATCTCCTGGTCTGTGGGGTTTCCAGCTTTCCACAAAGGCCATGAATGCTCAGAGGAAGATGAAGAAAACCAGAGTTTAGTTGCCGAAGGAGGGAGGAGATGGCTTCTGTGTAGACAACCGTGCTGCTGGCTGCTTGCTGTTCAACTAATGAACAGCTTAGTTGACATGAAAGACACAGTTGGCTGCCTACACCCTTGTTTGCAGACTAGGGTCAGGTGCAGTGACTCATGCCTGTAGTCCCAGCACTTTGGGAGGCTGAGGTGGGCTCATCACTTTAGCCCAGGAGTCCAAGACCATTCCGGGCAACATAAAAAAAAAGATCCCCATCTCAACAGAAAATACAAAAGTTAGCCAGGCGCAGCGGTGCATACCTGTGGTCCAGATACCCAACAGGCGGTGGCAAAAGGATCACTTGAGCTGTGAGGCGAGGCTGCAGTGAGGCATGAGGGCACCACTACACTCCAGCCTGAGCAGTAGAGCAAGACCCAGTCTCAAAAATAAATGCATAAATGCCAAAACTAAGATGAAGAAGCATGTATTTCTTTGTCTCTACAGTTGCAATCCTGGGAGAAGAAATTGTACTTACCCCTGGAAAAACCTGCATAATACATACTTTATCTATTTCTTTCTAAAATCAGGTCCCTACACTAAGCCTGAGATGCTTAAAACCACCTATCTCATCTAGGGTCCTTCTGACCTCCTTTGGCTAATGTCAGCCTCTTTCATGGAATTCCATCTCCTGCAGGTTTCTGAGGCAGAGCTGATTTGTGACTGATGGGTCCTAGGAAACTTCTCCTCTGGATGCTTTCCAGTGAGCAGACAGAATTCAGGCCCTCCATTGAAGGAACCTGGCTGGGCCATTCCTTCTGCCGGCTTCGGAATCAATTAGCAGCTGAAGACTCCATGACAGTTATTATGCAGCAGCTCCTGGACATATCCACCTGTATGCTCACCTATATTGTTGTTTTATACAATTTCTTTTCCCTGGATTGCAATTATTTCCATTTTTCCCTCCTTAAATCCAAGTGTGTATCTGATTTGTATAATCAAATAATATTTTCTTCATCAAATTTTTACATGATAAAAATATAAAAAAGAGGTGATTTTTAGGGAATCAATGAAGTTGGAATTTTTTTGGTCACCAATTAAATAAAAATATAGGCATAACAAATTTGCACAGAATTATTTTTTATTTTCTTTGAAGTAAATCAATAATAAGTTTATTCTTATAGACAGATATTTGTCTTTAAAGCTGTTCACTTATATATGTAGAGGTATTCATTTAATAGATGCGTTAATGAGAAAAAAATACAAATTTATACATTTTTGATACAATAACTGAATTATTTTTAATAGATACATCTCTAAAAGTGTTTTATTCTTTTGAGATGTTAGAATTCTTTTGAGATGTTAGAACCAACAATCTAGAGAATCACTTACATAGAGGAAATGTGATACTAGCCAAATAAACCCCTTGCATTATTTACAAGATGCATTAATTATTTACCCACTAGTTTAATTGATTTGAACTATAACCAGAAATAAAACATAAGGGCTTTCTGCAATAGGTTTAGGGCTTGAGGAATTTAATCTCATGAGTGCAATAAATGAACTTGTTTCCCATATGATTCCTTCTCCAGTAAGCATAGCTTGAGAGAAATTTCTATCTTAACTCTGTCAGTGCTCATATTATTTAAAATGGCATGTAAAAGACGCATGATCAAAGTTAACATTATTATTTTATGATATCATTGAATAAGTAAAAACAAAACTGTTCACTAATCTGAATAAGACTGAATGCAGTATCTAGTTATTCTCTTTTACTGGATACCCTTTATTTTTCAGTGTAATTGTGTTATTTGTTTACTTGTTTGATTTTCGTTCTTTAGAGCGTGCCTAATAAGTGTGTATTTCTTGCCAACACCTTTAACTTTGACAAAGTAGGTACCATACACAACATTTTTAAATGCTATCTTTAAATATTGATAATAACTCCAGGTAAGAGACAAAATGTATATATTTTATATATATATATAAATGAAGTCTGTTTCTACTTGCAAAAGGTTATTTTATTAGGTTCTTAACGACTAATATATAATGTCAAATATTGTAACTTTTTGTAAATTTTAATGTATCAATAAATGAAGAAATTGATATATTCTCTTATTTTCCTCTCAAATCTTATCTTCCTAACATGACACCAATAAAGCCAAATGATCCAGTAGTCATTTCTAATGATTTATATGAAATTCACATATTTGAATTGGTCCTGGGAATGAATTTATAGTCTGTGATGACTTTTAAAGCAGGAAGACTCGATTCACAAGCTCCCCGCCATTCTAGGAAGGTCCTTGTTTTAGTTTGCACTATGGGGAAGCGCCCTGCAATCTCTCACTAATCGATCAACCTGAACCTACCTTGCCACTCCTCATATAATACAACCCAGGGAGTCTTCTGGGGCCAGAAAACCAATTTGCTTCTCTGCGAATCTGTACAATGTTTGGAACTCATCTGCGTTGACAGTAAAACTTCTTTATGCCGACACATCCCCCAAACACATTGCACACATACAGTCTGATAAATGGGGGGAATATATATAAAGTGGTGGTAAATACAGTAATGGCCTAACTTGGTAGGAGAAGAGATCAGCAATTTAAAATTTTAGCAAGATTTTTTTTTATTTGCTATCGCTGTGTAAGTGGAGGAAGCTTCCTTCATCTTAATTATTTTTCAAAATGCAGCCTCTGACAAGGTCAATCTTTGGCAGATGTCCTCTATAAAGAAAAATGGTTATGGTATGTTCTCCCAGAATAGTGCTTTCTGTTGGGGAAGCTTGATAACAAACGTGCTCAAGTGGAATTTCAGGGCATTTTTCTGCTTGCCACTGAGGAACATCAGTCCAGCAGCTTCTGCAGCTGTCAGTCTTCTTCTCTCCTCTTTGCAAAGAGGTGGTTTTCATCACGGTCCTCATGTCTACCTCCTGGGGTAATCAAACATCTTCTTTGGCCTTAAGTGATATTATAGCTTCCATTTACAAAGATCACGGAGGTTTATAGTCTCAGCTGAGATTATTCACATTTGTGTATTCTTGTGGCATTTGGAGTGGGATATGTTTAGATCTAGGTCATATTTAAGATCCATCTGAAAACGTTCCCACTATTAGTGGACAAATGCTGCATCTCATGAGATTCCCAGGAGCCCACATGATCACGCCAAAAACTGTGGCTGGAAATTCCAGTTATAATTCCCCCCAGTTTCTAGTAAAGGCTGAAGACCTGTTCTGATTCTTCTGATTATCCTCCCGCTGCCTCTGATGGGCTGTGAGTTATTACGATGTTGGCTCAACACTGAGGCTGGAGTGCCCAGATACTATAGTACGTATGTGAAACATGGAACTTAAAGGTTTCCTCCTTTTAGCTAAGCTGGAGATGTCTGGTAAGCTGAATGTTATGAGTAGGAGGTTCCACTATGTATTCTTGCAGCACAATATACTTCTCTTTTGTAGCATTACTATTTATAGCACTATTAAATTACGGTCTCCATAATAAATCTGTGAGCCTTATGAAGGCAGAGAATATACAGTTTGCTCACCATGGCTTCTTTAGTACCTAGACACGCTCCACTGAATGAATGAATGTGTGTATGGTATGAATGAAGGAATGATTTAGTAGTTCAATGTCTTATATTTTAGAGACTATGGTATTCATATATGCACATTTTCAAACCAGTAACTTAAGTCCTAAAATATTCCCCACTTAGGTAGTCATATTTTAATTATTTGATTACTAATCTAAATACATTTGATTTATGATAACTCAATTGCAGGTGACTCAGAATGTTAATAATTATATTAAATTTTCTTAAATATCAGACCTTGTGAACTAATTAATAAATCGGGAGTATATAAATTCCAGGGTTTATTGGATTGCTTTCAGACTACTTCATTTAGGCCAACTTATTTAGTAAATTATTTTATTTCGCCCCTCCATTACACCAATACAGATTAACATGTCTTTATATTTTAACTTCTGTTTGGCCCCTTCTGTCAAATGTGACACACTGTAAAATACTAATATAATCCACCAGATTTATCAAATGATAGTTGACAGTGCTTTCAAATGAACACATCTTTTGTAATTTTTAAGAAAGAGTAGTCCAGGCGTGGTGGCTCATGCCTGCAATCCCAGCAGTTTGGGAGACCGAGGTGGGTGGATCATGAGGTCAAGAGATCAAGACCATCCTGGCCAACATGGTGAAACCCCGTCTCTACTAAAAACACAAAAATTAGCTGGGTGTGGTGGCATGTGCCTGTGGTCCCAGCTACTCGGGAGGCTGAGGCAGAAGAATCGCTTGAACCCGGGAGGTAGAGGTTGCAGTGAGTGGAGATTGCACCATTGCACTCCAGCCTGGTGACAGAGCAAGACTCCGTCTCAAAAAAAAAAAAAAAAAAAAAAAAAAAAAAAAAAAAAAAAAGATAGCATTTTATATGCAGTAAGGCACCAGAGCCATTGAAAAAACAATATTCTTCCCAGGATCACTGATATAATAGCACATCC